TCCTTGGTGTCCGACGAAAATATTACAATGCATACAGGAATCTATATAAATACATACAGGGGTCTATATAAATGCATACAGGGGTCGATATAAATGAATACCCGTGTATGAGAGTCGGCAACATATATGGGGTATGGTCACGGTCTTCAAACTCGTCAGAGGAGTAGACCATGCTCTTTAGATGTCTGACTTCTTTAGAATTGCCAAGATAACTAATTTCCGAGATCACTAAGGTAGCCTGAAGGCAAATTACGCCAAAACTGAAGCGCTGTCCATCTTCTTTTCTTATCGGTCGACTGAAGAATGGAACAAAGTACCTACTTCTGTTGTTTTTGGTGAAAGTGCCGAGACATTTTAAAGAAGCCGCGCATCAGAGAAGACCTTTGCCGGAGGTCAATGCTCTAACCGCTAAGCTTTAAACGCCTCGCCTCGCGCCGTGAATTTAATCATCCGCCCAACTTTAAGAAGACTTGAGAAGACTTGATTAAAATACACGTGATGGCCATATATTTGGTAGACATCAATGACTGATATACTGTACCGATATAACTCTGTACTATATGCATGCTTTGCCAAAATTTATGTTTATATGAGGTTTCGAAATGTTCTGTCGATCTCTTTTACACATATAGTGAATTATTATACGACTAGGTAACCTTAAAACACTAACGTACAAATCTACTTCTTGGGATTTGTACGTGAAAGACGCTTAAGTCTATTTTGTCAAATACACTGACAGACTGACTGACGCCAGACTAATACGTTTATTGATACAGCGATCGTGTCTCATTCTTCGCCACTGCTACCTAGGTCTCGCCCCTTCGCTTTCATTGACAAGTATGATGATGCTCTTCAAAATCCCTATATAAACTGTGCCTCTCAACCACATTCTTTAATGTTCGATAGGGAAATTTGTATTTGAAATCTTTTTGAAGGGCTCGCAATATTATCGCATATGGACAACCCGCTTTTCCGATAAATTAAATTGCCTGCTTACCGCAGATAATTTTGAAACTCAAGTTAAAGCGTGAGTTAAAACTTTTATTTTGCGTTACATTGTCGACCTTGCTGTAGAATTTTAGAATCTGCGAATTATGTGCCTTGGTTCAATTGAACAAATATTTGTTTGAACCAACCAACGCCTTATTTTCGCACTGCTACCTTAAGTGTGCGATGGAGAAGTCGCAGGGTGCATGTCCACTCCCCCCAAAGGAGTCCTCCCTGTTTAAGAGGATAGTTGTATGTTTTGCTCGATTATTTCGATATAAATACTTGTCTTAGAAATATTATGATCAAAAGCAATACAAGACTGGACTCAAATTTGCCAATCAAATCCTTTCGAACCCCAAGTTTGCCGAGCATGGAGGTAGCGTGCCCGGT